ATTTATCTATTTTTCATTTATCTATTTTTCATTTGTCCATTTTTCATTTATCCCTTTATTTATTTAAGCTAAATTATTTATTTAACACATTTTTTTATTTATTTCACTCATTTTTTATTTATTTTACCGATTTATTTATTTATTTATTTAATTTTGGCTGAAATGGCTCTCCATAGTTGTGGAGCCCATGTCATGGTGAATTAACTCACAATGCTCTTAAAACAGAACAAGTAAAAAATGTTTAAAATAAAATGCCATTGAAACTGAGAGGTTTTAAAAAAGTATACTAAAACAAAGCTTATTTTGTATTTTAATTAAAAGAGCAGAAATTGCTGTTATAGCTCTATAAATGCACACCAGGTGTAGCCAAAGCCATGCTTATTGATTGAAATGGTTAAAAGAAAAATGCAGTTGCATGAACTAAATGATTCAGTAAAAAAAAAAAAAATGTAAATTACGAGCTAATTCTCGTTAATGTTAAAATGTTTGAAACATTCTAAAATGGATTTTGTTTACCTCACCCCAACTGTAAGGTAGAAATATCCACAAGTGGTAGTTAACGTATTTAGTAAATATGGTTATTTATAGATCTTTTCTTAGAGATATTTTCCTTTTGTAATGTCTTGTTATTTTTTTTAAAAGATAAATGTTTCTTTATCGATGTTTGTGTACGATGGTTATCTTTGAACCCCCTGAATTAGCTATCCTGACATTTCCGCTAAATTTTGCACCCACGTGTTATTATTTGAGTAATGTAAAGCTGTGTTATTTTAACCTATAATAGACAGTGTTTCAGCCTGTGATAACCTTAAGACACGGGAAGACTAGGTTTGTGTCAGGATGTGGTGGTGTTGGTTGAGGACCCAAATGCAGAAACCAGTTGGCTGAGGTGAATTTAAGAGGGTTTAATAAAGTTAACAGGAGCTGAGGCAGACATCAAAAATCCAACAGGAATTACAGGTTCAGAGGAACTGAGGTAGGCATCAAAAAAACAAAAAAATCAAAAAATCACAAAATAACAAAAACGAACCAGAACCAAGGAGACATCAGGGGTAAACCAAAACTCTAGGAGCCAGGGAGAGACGAGGAAGACAGGCAGATGTTAGACGTTTGACGACGATCCAGCAAACAGGAACTGAAGAGGAAGGGCTTTTAAAGGGGACAGAGACAGGAAGAGGGCTAATGAGGGAATTGAACACAGGTGAGGGCAGAACAGAAAACAGAGCAAGAGAAAGAGGACACAAGAGGGCAGCAGAGGACAACAAATGAAAAGCTGGAAGTCAGGAACTAATAAGAAAACATCAACAAAATAATAATCAAATAACTAGGATAAAGAAACATGGTAAAAAGAAAACTAAACACTAGAAATCAAGGAGCAAAAGAAAAACATAACAGAAACAGAAACCTAACAGTTTGTCTTTCCCACTACCAGAGTTGCTTCGACAAAAGAACAAGTCCAGTTAATTTATTTTTTTTCAGGAATATGTCGACACGCTATTTTGTTTGTTTTGCATCATAAATATTTTCAATCTGTCCTTTTATGAAATCATTGTACTAACTTTGTAACCCGGAGCAACACTGACTTTGTCAAAGTTTTGAAAAAGATGCATTAAAAAACCTTGATTAAGTAATTTTATCCATAATAGAAAGTGAAAGATCTCATTTTCCTGCCATAGTGTCTATGATGATGGAAGAAATCAGCAACACATATTTTAGTTTTGTTAACTTTGGGTATTTGAGCTTAAAAATGTCAAGTCAGTGTTCATTTTCCTTTTATGGGAATTTATAATCACATAACAATGTAATTTGATAATGCTTTAATAAAGAAGGTCCTGTCTGCATAAATAATGCACCTATTTGAGTTGGTTTGTAGTTAACCAGCAGAGGGAACTGTTCCCAAGGTGAGTGCAGGGTGTGGTAATCAGTTTGATGCTCAGACCCAAGCTTGCCTGCCGGTAGACCACATCTCAGGTGCCTTCTTTTCATTTTTCTGCAAACTTAAAGGTTAGTAGCGTGGGAATGTTGGACAGATTACATTTAAGTGTATAAAAACACCTTCTGTTTTCAATCTGATAACTTGTGTCTGAACTTTTCTGTTATTTAATTTATTCATGATGTCTAGCTCTTTCCTTCAGCTCTGGCTGGTGTTATATCATTATCAGATTGAAGATGATGTATGTTTTTTATTGCATATAAGGGTAATTGTGTCCTGCACCAGCAAGGTGGATTCACTAGTATGAAATAAGTAAAAATGGTCGTCATCTGTATATTTAATTTAATTTGAATGTGGCTCTAAAAGGAGTAAAACTATTATAATATGAAACCAATTTGAGTGCCGTAGACAAACAATGTTTTTAAGAGTTTTTAATTAACCGTGAATTTAAATATCTATAGAAACTGTCCATTGATGTGTTTGCATTTGAGAGATGTTTGATATTGTTGCCCATAAGTGTTGTTCAGTAAAGTAAGATAAGCAGATAAACAATCGTTTTTTTGTTATTATATTTTGTGATTTAGTGCCATACTATTAAATAGAAAAAAGTTAAGATACTGTTGGTTTGTCAGATTAAGAATAACCTTTTGTAAAGGAAAAACTTTAGAAATATAAATAACCTTTATTGTTCATCAGAGCGGAGATTCAGGTGCATATGCAGCAGTGATTGACAAGTCCAAGCATGCAGATTCACAAAAGGCATACAGTACTTAGATTTAAAGAAGTGTAACATTAGGCAGACCGATTAAAAAGATTGTATATTATGTGCATATATATTTGTGCTTAACCCTTTAACTGCATTTTCAACTTCCCATCTGCATTGTGCTGAGCAAATTGTCAACCATTCGGAGGACGAGGAAGTTAAAGGAAATTAAAAACGGGGTAAAAAGCAGAAGGGACATGAAAACTGGATTTTGTTTGTTGCAGTGATTGTAAAGTCAGAATTCTGAGAAAAAAGTCAGAATTCTGAGAGTAAAGTCAGAATTTTGATTTCCCCCCCCCCCCATATTAAACTCAAATGAAATAAAAAATCGGTTTAACTTTTTATTTTTTCCAGTAGCATCACTCTTATGCATTTTAAAATTGCACATAATTGAAAATCAGTCCACAGTGGAGTTGATATTACATTTTTAGTTTGCTAATTTAATGTTTTTCAGCTGGTTTTCAGTAACACTATGAGTGGAAACCTTATAATTCCTATAGTTAGCATATTCCCATCCTCTTTGTTCTTTAGATTATTTTTGTTGTTGGCTTGTCACATCCTCCCTGCATTGCTTTAAGGACTCACACGCCTGCTTCCATGCTTTTAGATACGTTTGGGCTGTGTTCATGAGTTTTGGTCATGAGGTAAGCAACTGTTTTTACAATTAGGAGAACTCATTCTAGCTGTCAGGGCCAGAGGAAGGACATCCTTGATAGGGGTTTTTGTTACTGTGGCAAATGTTTGCAGTTTGTCTTTTCATGTCTGCTTTGTTCTTTCAGCTAAACCTTTGGTCACTGGTCAACTAAAACCTAATCTATGCTTAATCATTTTAACAACTTCCACTTCTCTTTGCAGTTGTTGATAAAATGGGTGCCATTATCAGAGGAAATAACCCTGGAACCCCCATAGCTCGCTATCGATTTAACTTTTACTTTAGTAGCTGGCAATTCTGTCAAAACATCAATTCAATTCAGTTTATTTCTATAGCGCCAGTTCACAACACAAGTCATCTCAAGGCTCATTATTGTTCAACCAGATCATCCAGTCAAATTGATTTAAAGTTTTCTCTCTA